GATCATGCTTGTAAAGTAATTAACATTTTATTTTATTTTTTTGTCAATTTCTTCAAACTTTTTATCTCGCTTATCACGAGGTCATATTCAAGTGATAAAATGAAGTTGACAAAAAGAGTCTAATATTCTCTTTCGATCCTCTATGATTGAAAGCAAATAAACAAATCAACATGTCTGTGTGAAAATTTAAAGCACGTTCTTGTCTTCTTCTCGGATTCAGAAACAAACTAAAGATAAGTTCAAGATCGGTTGACCCCAAAAACAAAAAAAAGGTTCAAGATCTGAACTCACAATCATGCGTGTTGATCCATGAGTTCGACAATAAATTTATATACAGTAAGAGGATCGGAAATTCTCGTTTATTGATATTAACTCGGAAACAGGCTACAACATATGATATTGTACGTGCTAGAAAAGATTGTGTATTGAGCTCGYAAYCTTAGATCYGCTGACGAACCTTGTGTTCYGTTTTCTGAGTATCGGAATAAGGTATGAGATCGTCGCTTTCAAGGTCGGAACCTGTGACTGAAAACGAGATCGGGTTAGAGATCTAAACTGACTGAATAACTGAATGACGAGGTCGGTGGATCGGAGGTCGGAACCTGATGATAAGGGCACTTGAGGTCGGATCGCRGGTGTGATAAGTACGAACTCTGCGCAGCCTTTTTACGAGTTGTTCTTGTCCTTTCTGATCAATCGGGCTCGATCAGGAGATTCTTTCCCTTTTGGTGTTAGAGAATGATTGCTTTTCACTCTCAAATTCCCTTGTACTTGCCCGAAAGTGGAAAAAAGTCATTCTTCAACTCATGGGATGGGGACCCCTATTTATACTAAAAGTGGAGAAAATGAGGTACTAGGGTTGTCATGGGACCTGTCATTCACTACAGGAGGCGGCTGAGCTCACTTTGGGCCTGAATCATCAGTTACTGGGGCGAGCTCGTCGGACTCCTTCCTTCTGGGCCGAGCTCGTCGCGCTTCTCTCTTCTGGGCCGAGTTTGGTGGTGCAATCTGTTTGCTGGGTTTTTTTCGGAAATGGGCTTTAAAGGTGACAATATTTAAGGCCCATGCCCAACAATGCGTGCAGTTTCCTTCTTGGTGTTCTTGTTGCTTGTTGAGTTATGCAATGGAGGAATGACCAGTGGATATATAAGAGGATCTGATTTACCCAATGACATGCCATTAGACAGCGATGTATTTACAGTTCCTTCGGGTCCTAATACRCCTCAACAGYTTTTTAAAAAWTTTTGCAGCWGWTTCTTTCTTTTAAATASTGCMACAAATCTTMWRTGGTCTCATCAGTTTCTTCTCCTTTGTAATGAAACAGGTTCATGTAACGCAAGGTAACCATGAAGGTAATGGAGTAATCATTTCATGGGTTACTCCGGTTAAGCCCGGTTCTAACACTGTTCGCTATTGGTATGAGAATGGGAAACCGAAAAGCCAAGCTGAAGCAACCGTTAACACTTACCGGTTCTTCAATTACACGTCTGGTTACATCCACCACTGCATCATCGATGATTTACAAGTAATAATATTTGATACAATCTAACCTTCCGCAAAGTGATTCAAAAGTAATGATGCAGGAACGTGTTTCTAACATCGCTTACAACATTGTCAATGGATTGTGTGAGCCAATAATAGATGAGTCCGCTCTTGTATACATAACAATTGGGGATGGAGGAAATTCTGAAGGCTTGGAAACTGAGTAAGTACTTGACCATATTCGTGCAAACTGAGTAAGTACTTGACCATATTCGTGACCATTTTTGAATTTTGTTTTTAACGAATGGCTTTTGATATATTTGTAGCATGATACAACCACAACCAAGCTTCTCCGCCTTCCGAGAAGCTAGCTTTGGCCACGGGTTGCTGAGATTCAGAACAGAACTCATGCATATTTCAGCTGGAATCGAGACCAAGATGAGTATTCTGTTGAAGCAGATTTTGTGTGGTTGCTTAATCGGTTTTGGCAAGGAACAAAGAAGCAAGATCAGTGATACACAATGGAATTTCAGTGATAATTGCGAATGCTTTCATCGACTTCTTTCAATTTGTTGTAATGGCATCTTTTTCTCTCACTATAGTAGTTTGTTTGCCCTGAAACGAAATAAAAATCGAGTAACCGAAAAGATGTTTCAAAACGCAGAAACTCGCATATCTTTGAAGTCTTTCTTTTTTAAAGCTTGTTTAATATATGAAGTGTCAAAAGAAGGAAACAGAGCAATGCTAGTAGGCATCATACAAAAACCATGAGTGAAAAACCTTTTATCTAGAGGGTGACAACAAGAACGTGACATGCCACAATCAGCCAAATCGTAGCATTTTACAAAAATGTCCTAAATTTCTGTAAAATTGCTAAAAATTGCCCTAAATTTCTGTCAGTTTTATTAAAAAGCTCTAAACTTTCTAAATTTTTTTTTGGCACAAGGTCAATGGGTCGGGCCTGGGTAGCAGCACTCAATTTTGCAAACACCGACCATTCTTGTGGAATAGTCAACATCCTAAATATGTGAGAAAATCGACCATCATCTTCTGATGGGTGAACAAACAATCCCTAATCCATATGAGAGCTTCTAGTTCAGCATGAAACAAAAAAAAAGTTTTTTTAAAGATTAAATATAAAATTTTATAAAATTGAACGAAATGGTATTTTTGAAATGTTTTCAAACACAGGTATTTTTAAGGTTATTTTTCAAAATTTCTCTTGTTTGGTACTTAGAGATTTGTTTTACATTTTTCTTTCATTGTTTTTTTGTCAATTTTTTCAAATTTTTATTCACAAAAATGATTGGCTTACCAAAATCGAAAATATAAAGTAGCAGACTTTTTTTTTTTGGTCAAAGATTTCGCTCATCGCGAGGTTCTTCTTTTTGTCAACATCAAGTTAATGAAAACGACTTAGAAATCCAAATCGAGAAAAAAGAGTTTACATACAAAATATAATACGCGTAACCAGGCGTGTTGTGG